GAGCCGAAGGCAGGCGCTTAAGGACTGAGCCACCCAGGCGCTCTCTCTTTGGGGTTTTGAGAAGGACTCTGGGTTTTGAACCGAAAATGTGACAACCAGCCCTGCTGGCAGCCAGATGGTGGTTGCCCAAGTGCAGGTCAGCGATCTTAAGACAAGCCTCCCACCCTCTCACGTGTTTGGAACAAGACAGACCTGGTCATTCCCCAAACACAAAAGTGACTGAATGACCTCCTCTTCTGATGAATCTGAGTGACCAGTGCTCCCACCTTCCTGATAAGATTAGATGCCCAATTACCGAATTGCTCCGCCCTTCTCGACAGCATGCCATCTAGGACTGCCTCCCCGGTTCCTCATGCCCCCAGGCGTCACCCTGCAGATGGCCAATCCTGTTAGAAGCCTCCCACAGCTCCTTCCTGAGTCTCTGGGGGCTTTCTCTCCTGCTCGCAAGCCCATAAACCCAACATATTTTTTTTTCTTCTGCAGGTGAGCTCCTAGCAATCTGTGGTGAGCAGCCTTTAGCAGAACACCCCAAGGCTGGAGCTTTAAGCCCCTCCCATCTCCAGTGGTTCCAACAGAGGTTCAGGTGCAAGGAACTGCCTGCAGACTGAGTCAGAACTGTAGCTAGTTCATTAACCTTGGCCTCCAATAACTCCTCCACCTGTGTTTCTGTTTCGTCCAGCACTGCCGGGCAGGATAGGGGTTAAATGAATAAACAGAATCAGAAACTCTGGGGTGGGACCCAGTGCTCTGCTTTAACAAGCTCTCTAAGTGATCCTGAAGCATGCTCAAGTTTGAGGTCCTTGGTTAAATGAATAAATAAAATCTTTAAAAAAAATAAGAGATTAAGCACGTGGCGCTCGATAGGCTTAATAAGCAGTCGGAATGATGCTTACAGAAGAATTTTAAAAAGTATGGTTACGAAGTGGCTATAATAATTTTAAAGACTTTCAAATACTGCTGGTTAATAGTAGTACATGTTTACTGTGGCAAGTTTGAGAAGTACTTAAAAATTATAAAATAAAATTCACTTCTGGGACACCTGGGTGGCTCAGTCGTTAAGCGTCTGCCTTGGGTTCAGGTCATGGTCTCAGGTCCTGGGATCGAGCCCCGCATCGGGCTCCCTGCTCAGCGGGAAGCCTGCTTCTCCCTCTTCCACTCCTCCTGCTTGTGTTCCCTCTCTCACGCTCTCTCTCTCTGTCAAATAGATAAATAAAATCTTAAAAAAAAAATAAAATTCACTTCTGATCACACCGGCCAGAGATGGCCATATTTAACATCTCAGAGTGCAGGGCGACAGACCCGTTCAAACCCTGGACCTGCCTGCCACTCCTTAGGGACTTACTCAGTCTCCCTTAGATTTCATGCCCTGCTCTGTACGGTGGGTTCAATAGCACCTTCTCACAAGGTTGTGTGAGCATTAAATCAGGTAATGTTTGTAAAACGCTCAGCCTGGCAGATAACAGATGCTTAGATTGTTGATTATTACTAATACCACTGTCACTATAAAAGAGATCCATTTCTTCATTCCCTGTCACCTTATACTTACAAATGCACACACCATTTGCCCTGGAATACTTTTCATCTCTCTGTTGGGGTCAACAGCGCACCACAAAAATCTGCATGTTCTAACTGAGCCAGAAAGAATAGAGACTCTAGCAGAAACGTGACCAACTTCTCCAAGAAATAGAACTGCCCACCCATTATTTTTTTAACTTCACTGATGTATTATTGCCATACAATAAACTGTACATCTTCAAGTGTACCATTTGATAAATTTTAACTTATGAAAAATCACTCATGAAACCACCTCCACAGTCAAGAGTGAGAGTATCCAGCACCCGCATTCCCTTGTGCCCTTGTAACCCCTCCCTCCCCCAGATAACCACTGACCTGCCCTCAGTCACTACAGGTTAGTTTGCACTTCCTATACTTTTTTTTTTTTAAGACTTTATTTGAGAGAGAGAGAGTGAGTGAGAGAGCACAAGCAGTGGGGAGACGGAGAAGCAGGCTCCCTGCTGAGCAGGGAGCCCGATGCGGGGCTCGATGGGGGACTCAATGTAGGGCTCCATCCCAGGACCCCCGGATCATGACCTGAGCCGAAGGCAGACGCTTAACCAACTGAGCCACCCAGGCGCCCCTGCACTTCCTATACTTTCATACAAATGAAACACACAGCTCGTATTCTTTTTGCCCTGCTTATTTCACGAAGAACAGTGACTTTGAGATTCACTCCTACTGTTCCGTGTGCTAGTAGTTCATCTCTTTATTTGGCTGAGCAGTGAGCGTTCCATTGTTTGGATAAACTATGGTTTGTTTATCCATTCACCTGTTTTGTTTTGTTTTTTTTTTAAATTTTATTTATTTATTCATTAGAGACAGAGAGAGAGAGAGGCAGAGGGAGAAGCAGGCTCCCAAGGAGCAGGGAGCCCGATGCGGGGCTCGATCCCAGGACCCTGAGATCACGACCCGAGCCGAAGGCAGTTGCTTAAGTGACTGAGCCACCCAGGCGCCCCCAACTGAGTAGGTTTTAACCAGCTTTTTTCTTTCTTTCTCTAATGAAATAGAAAAGAAGAAAAATTATCTGAGTGTATCCTATGCAGTAAAAAATAATTGTCTCATGAGACTTTTATTTTAGCGATGCTCAAAATCAAAACAGAGACCCAACCAAAGCAACCCACCCAACATAAACAGCCCGTATAGTCTTATGAGCAGGGAGATGTATGGAGGAGTCCAGAGAAGCAACTAACTACAAGAGAAGGAATTAGAAAGACCTAGGAGGGGCGCCTGGGTGGCTCAGTCATTAAGCGTCTGCCTTCGGCTCAGGTCATGATCCCAGGGTCCTGGGACCGAGTCCCGCATCGGGCTCCCTGCTCAGTGGGAAGCCTGCTTCTACCTCTCTCACTCCCCTTACTTGTGTTCCTTCTCTCGCTGTGTCTTTCTCCGTCAAATAAATAAATAAAATCTTTAAAAAAAACAAAACAAAACAAAACAGAAAGACCCAGGAGGGCAGAGGGGACAGGAGACTAGGAGAGGTGGCTAGGGAAAGACCAAAGGGGCAAGAGGAGAGAGGCAGCTGCCTGGGGAGTGGAAGTTTGGGCAAAAGAGATGGTTAGGGAAGACTTTCAGCGGTTCTTTTTACGTGGGGTACAATGTAATCATCCTCCCGTCCCCAAAAAACATTCAGGAAAAATAAGGGTAGGATGGATTTGGGTCAAAATCACCTTAGAATAATGATTATTTTTAAGCACCCATCTCTAATTAATTTATTCTCTTGTTTAGCACTCAGCATTTTAGAAAATCAGTAGGTGTTTGGTTATTAAAACACAAACTGTCTTTCTGGGCTGGCCATAGAAAAGCTGGAGAGCAGGACAGTCTGCCCTTGGGGGCAAGGTCCCACCTTCTGGACTAGCAGGTGCCCCTTTGTAAGAGTAGACCATTTAGTTTCAGTGCTGGCCTCTCTTCTTTGACCTTACAAGCGATCCCTAGATTTAATCTCAGAAAAGATATGACATCTGATTTTTTTTTTTTTCTGAAATCCTGTACTTTGGGAGTCAGAATTGTGTTTACTGACCTCGCTCCAAGTGAGGGGGAAGCGTGGGTGAGTGCGGGGGAGGGGGGGTCCTGGCCTGATGACACGGACATAGGAGCTGTCAAGGGAAGCAAACATTCATGTGGAGGGGTCCCGTGGGGTGGCGGGCGTGCTGGGCACAGATGTCCTGCAATGATGCCCAAAGTGGTGCTTTGAGCAGAGCTTTCCAGAGGTAGAGTGGGAGGGGCGGGTTGGCTATTCCAGATGTGAAGCGGGGTGAGAAAAGGCAGGCTTGCTGGAAGGACTGGGAGGGGGAGATTCGGAGGTAGGAACAGGGAGGTAGAAGTGCTGAGCAGAGCCCCAAGGGCCAGAGGCAGGCTTTGGGCTTTAGGCAGGCAAGAACGCAGAGAGCACCTTGTCTGAGGACCCGTGTTGCTCGGGGCTAAAGCCTAGTCAGTTCACTTCAGAGAAGAATAAGCAAAGGAGGCCACACACTCACTTTCCTGAGAATCTGTTCGTTTTTGATGCTGGTTTTCAAGTCCTGTTTGATGGCTGGACACACAGATGTCTGCGTCTGGGCGCAGTGCCTCTCGTATGTTTTCAGGAACTTTTGAAGAATTGGAACGATGGGCAGGGGTGTTCCTTTAGTTTTTTGTTTTCCTTCCTTTTCTCTTGACATTGTTTTACTGTGTGAGATTCCAGCTGGATTCTGAAAATAGTACCTTGCCCTGAAACCCAATACACAGATGTTTTTTTAAGGAGCAGATCACACTTCCCCCACTAAAAATTGGCAAATACTGCTGCACGCCCTTCTCTGAAAACCTTAAAGAGCCTCATGTTATCTTAAAATGGGAGTAGGGAATCAAGATGGAGGCAGTTGAGCAGAACTGTTCAATTTCCAGTCTCTATATTCATGGATCCGTGTTCTTTCAGATTCTTTAAAATGGGGCAGTACCCTTGGAACTCCATTATAAAGGAATACAATTAACATTAATGGTGGGCACTAAATATTACCAAAGACATATTATTTTAAAATGGCATAGTTTTCTTTATAGACATAATTCTTGCCAGGCAGCATATCCACAGTGGTTAAGAACGTGAGCTTCAAAGGGGAACAGACCTGGATCTTAGTCTTGTCTCCACCATTTGACTCACTTGGGTGGCCTGAGGTATTCTGTGAAGACTTTGCAAGCCTCCGTTTCTCCATCTGTAAAATGGATTATGGTTATCACCAGGATTAAGGAAGGTAAATTTATAAAGCACTTAGCACAATGCCTGGCACACAGTAAAAGTGCTCAATCAACTTTATTAGTACTATTGAGATTATTATTATTTTGCTGGCCACAGGAAACCACCCAATCAGTACTGATTTGTCCCTTCCATTATCCAGCCTTGAAAGGTTTCTCCATGTGATAATGTCACCAGCTAGATCCCAAGACCTGACCTTCATTGCCCACATGCTTATACTCACTAACCTTTGTTTTACATTTTTCTTTAAGCTCTTCTTTCCGGCTTACCTCTTAACTCAGGCGAAGGGAACCTGAAACCACCCTCAGGGGTTGGCTACAGCCCGGACAACACCTCCAGATCACCGAGACTGTTTGAGCTAAACTCCCTCCCGGACTCACTTTGGCTCAGATGGAGGGGGCAGTGACCTCTGGAATGACTGGCAATGACCTTTACCTCATTATAATACTAAAATCTCCTCCCAAGGAAGAGCCTCATTTACATAACATACAACGTATGTATAGGCATGTCTCAAGGTACATGCATGACCTTATGCCCACCTCTACATACGATGACAAGGCCTTCCTATCTAAATATTCATCCTACCCCTAAACAAAAGGAACCCTCTCTCTCTCTCTCTCTCTCTCTCTCTCTCTCTCTCTCTCTCGTCTGGCTTTGAAAGCTATTTCCTGTGATTTCCTTATTTGCTGCAAATAAAGTTTACTTTGTGGGACAACTCCACCTGGTGTATCTGTGACTCATCAAGGAGCTAAAAACCCACATTGGTTTGGTTACAATAACTTAAGGTAATTTTTGGGTCTCTGAACTGGGTTCACAAAGGTTTATGGGAATTATTAAGAGACCTTGTCTCAAGAGGAACCAGTTTGAATCCTGTGTCTGTCAATTATTAGTAGACTGACTGTGGGTAATCAACTTCATTTCCCTGAACCCTGTTTTCTTCGTCTGTAAAAATGGTGGGACTAGATCGCGAGCTGCTCGCTAGGGGTGTCGCCTTAGAGATCGGGACTGGTTGGGATTGTGAAAGATCAACATGCCTTTGGCTAGAGATTTACTACACCCGTCCTTGGAAGAGGAAAAGAAAAAACATAAAAAGAAACGGCTAGTTCAGAGCCCAAATTCCTATTTTATGGATGTAAAATGTCCAGGTTGCTACAAGATTACCACGGTTTTCAGCCATGCTCAGACGGTGGTTCTTTGTGTAGGCTGTTCAACAGTGTTGTGCCAGCCAACAGGAGGAAAGGCCAGACTCACAGAGGGGTGTTCATTTAGAAGAAAGCAACACTAATGATCCACACAACCTCTTGAATTTGTGTTATATCGCAGAAAGCCTTATCAGTTCAGTAATTCCAGTTATCTACCAAGATAATGTAATTATGCTTAATTTTGTAAGGTTTACAACAGTGATGTCCTATTTTGGTGTCAGTTTTTCAATAAAGTTTTGATTATGGGCAAAAAAAAAAATGGTGGGACTA